TATTAGCCCTTGCCCTACTGGAAAGTCCATAGTGTGAAGCATGGACCTGAAGGGGTTTCTCAGCTCACCCATCTCTGCCTGCCCCACAGCGAGTGCCCTGGGAGCCACCTCGCTCCCGGTCCCGGCGCCTGTGCTGGAGCAGAAGACGTACGTGGAGCAGGAGCCGTGGCTGGTGGGGTACCCTTCGTTTTTTTTGGGGCTCTGCCTCTGCACCCTCCTCTGCTCCCTGCTCCTGGGCTGGACCCACCTGCGGAGGAAGGGAGAGGGGGTCTCCTGCCAAGACAGCGCTGGGCCCTGCCACCGCAGGGAGGACTCCTCCAAAGGTGAGCGCTGGCTGCACCGCGGCACTGGGAGAGGATGAGGAGCACATAGTTATGGGCAGGCTCCAGCCACGAGTCTTTGCATTGAAGTGAAAAGACAGGGGAAGGATAATGTGGAGTGAGCCAAGCTCATGGAATCACAGACTGGTTTGGGTTGGAAGGGACCTTCCATCTATTTCCAACCCCTCTTCTACACCTTCCACTAGAGCAGGTTGCTCCAAGCCCCGTCCAACCTGGCCTTGAACAGTGCCAGGGACGGGGCAGCCACATCAAAAGTGATGTTTTTATTCTCCCTCCTCCTCTCCTGCTTTTACAAAAAGCCTTTGTCTACTGATCCATGTCTGCACACACACCCCACGTTCACACACATACCCCTCAAAGCCAGTCCTGCTGGATGTCAGAAACCACAGAGAAGCAGCCCTGGAGTCCTTGTGTTGCTCGGAGGCCCCCTCCAGCAGAACTGCAGTTGAAGCCATTCCTGTCTGCTTTGGTTGAGGGACACACTGGCACTGAGCATTCACTCTTAAGGAAGCCCCAGGTTCAAAGAGATTTGCTGTGTGCTTTTCCATGCTCCTGCTTATCATGTCCCAGATGGATGGAGCAGAGTCCTTTGACCAGCCCACAGTGTGGTGGGTCCCTGGAGCCAGCCTGTCCCATTGCTGGAGCTCCAGCACCTCTCACCGTTGCATTTGCATGTGCTACAAAAGCAGCTTTTAATGAACAGACAATTGACATGTGATGTTATAAATACTACAAATGCTTAATGCTGAACCTGCAGCTTCCTGGTTCAAGGCACTTCCCAATTTCCACCCCTCAGATGTCACCATCCAGGGTGGCAGGATTAGGTGTGGGCATGGAGGTGATGCATTAGAGACAACACAGCATCATGGGCTTTATCAGAGCGGTGGGAGATGGGTGTCCTCTCCAGCTGCAAGGCAGCTCTGCAGAGCATTCCTTAGGGAAAAGCTGCTCCTAAACCCCTTGAAGCTAATATAGTTTACTTGCAGATCATCTGGTGGAAGCAGGCAGCGTTGGCGATGGATCCACTGGCAGCAGGCTCCCAGAGCCAGTGGAAACCTGTGGCTTCTGCTTCCCTGGACAAGGTTCTGCTGTACAAGAGACCAAATCATGCCACAGCACCTCCTGCCACAGCGGGGAAAGAGCTGCTCCCTCTCACAGCGGGATCTGCAGCACGGGAAGTGCTGGGGCCATTCCCAGCCCTGACGATGGCCACTTCAAAATCATATGTTCTCCTTCACAAGAGAAGGCACCCATGGTGTGATGCCCACATGGGATGTCCCTGCACACGGTCAGGAAGGAGGGATGCTCCCTCTGTCCCCATGACACAGCTGCTTCACCCTCCGTTCCCAGTGACTGTAACAGCTTCTTCCAGGACCAGCAGACCCAGAACAGTCTTTGCCCAAGGGCTGTAGGTTATAGATAGTGCTGTCTTCTTCCACTCGGGAATTCTCCTTATTCTCGTGCACTCCCAGTGATGGAAGTCTCTTCCCATTTAGCAGTGCCTTCATCCTCTGACTTGACCTCTGCAGACTCCTCCATGCATCCCAGTCCTTTGGAGTGATGGCTCATTGGGGTATTTCATCCTGGTTCCACCATCAGCATCACTTGTTGATGCAGAGGCAGGGTCAGACTGTGGTGTCCCCATGGAGAGCACACCTTTCCCTGCTTGAAAACCCTACCACGCCACACAAGCGATTGCAAGCAGAGCTGTAAGCACCTCAAACATGGATTCACACCCAAGAAGTTACTCATGGAAGTTACAATGACCATGGAATGCCACTGCCATGCTCTCAAGAATAGTTTTCTGACTTTAACAGAAGCTTCTTCACAGAACATTGTATTTGGTAAGACTCAACAAGGAAACGACCTCTGCCAGCTTTCAACACTGCTTGGGAGGGGAGGACAGGCCATGGGTGACAGGGAGGCTTTGCCTTGTGGCGGGACACGATGCTCCATGGGACAGGCACCAAATCCCTGATGGAATTGGGTTTAAAAGGTGAAAACTCACCCAAGGCTGAGAACTTTCTGAAAGACCGGATTTATGTATGTCTGGTCTGGGTTACTTAAAATAGCTGCTAAAAGTGATGAACCAGCTACAGCTGCTTTGAGGGAAGGGTCTATCTGACCTGGCTTTGGAAGCCACTGTGGAAAACTATGGATTTCAACATGTAACTTGAAGTTCTCATTTTCACTAAAGGAGAGCACAGGCATGTTTTGCTTAGTGACAAACCACCCCTGGTAGGAGCTCATCCCCTCCACTGTCTAAAACTAGAGCTTCAGACTTGGAAGAATAAACATGAGTTAATATATGCACAAATTAGTGCTGGAAAGTAGACAACTGGAGAAAGCATGAGCAGATTAAAGTTATACAGACCTGTATCCTCCATATTCTGTATTTCTTTAAATGTCAATGTTTTCTTATCACTAAAGAAGGCACCACGAGGAGGGTGACCATGACAAAGCCAGAGCGATGTCTGCTCACAAAGCAGAAAGGTGTTAGGACCACGTGAAACCCGCTAAATAAGAAAGAGGATGAGGTGGTTCAAGGTGAGGGCTAAGAAGCCACATGTTGGTCCCACAGGTGGTCCATGAGGCAAAATGCTCCAGGGACCAGCCTGGCATTTCTCCATCTCGTTGTCCTTGTGTATTGCTTTTCACCTCCTCCCTTTGTTTTAGCACAGTCCTTATCCCATTGTAGCACAAGGGATAAGTTTCGTATCATCCTGCATTTGCACCCAGGGAAGAAAATAAGCCATGTCAAAACTGCAACCTTATTTTACTCAGGTGGATCTCCTGAACATGATGGGTGAGCCCTGGAAGCCACCAGCCCACAGTTCAATGGGGAGAGCAAGGGTTTACCCATGTGCACAGGGAACATAATGCAGACCCCAGCCATGCGCAAGCAACAGCAGCAGCTTCCACTGGCTGAGCCTCACCCCCATCATGTCCTGTGCTCAGTCCATGGGCCTCTCACTCTTCTACCTCCCACCCTCTCAACCTGAAGACCCTCTTGGCCTCCTTGGCATCTTCTCTCACATAGCCACCCCTCCTGTCCAGCAACCTCTGCTCTCATCACATCCATTCCTGTGTCTCTGGCCCTGTAGCCTCCTGCCCTGCAGCCTAAGCTCTAGCACCTCCAACATCATAACCCCACATACCGCAGCATCATTAGCATCCCAGTTCCTCTAAACCTCTGGAAACCTTTCAGCCCCAGCAGCCACCATAGCCTACATACATGGCCAGCCTCAACTCCTCCTCATCCTCCCACCCCTCCTCAGCCCTTCAACCTGCATCTTTGTGCAGACATCTCTACTGCAGCTTCCCCAAGTCTCTCGGTCTCTGTTCCACTTGGCTTTACTCTTTCTTGCCCTGTCACCATCTTCTGGCATCTGCTCTTCCTCTGCCTTTCATCTCCTACATGCTTTAGTCTCCACTTGCTTGCTCAGCCTCTGCCCCTTCCCAGAAGGAAAACCCTCATAAGCAGATGTGGTGCCTGATCAGGCTGCCCCTTCCCAACATGGAGCTCGTGCAGACACACGACTCAGCTCTGGTGCCCTGTGGACATTCCAGTGTCACCCACGGGAACTCCCGGCCACGGTACTTGTGCAAGGAGATTCAGAACCTTATTTTAAAACAGCACAGAAATGACTGAACATGTGCCACCACCTTTGCCATTAGGGCATCTCTGGAGGATCTTGAGGCATCAATTATTCAAACAAGAAAGCTTTTAGGAAAGCCATTACGCAGCCAGCCACAAGCTCACCCTGTGTGGCACCCGCAACCAGCAGCACTATGTGCCTTCTGCACCAAGCCTGTGGTGGGATGGGGCTGTCATCAGAAACCAAGTCACAACCACAGACTGGTTTGGCTTGGAAAGGACCTTAAAGCCCATCCAGTTCCAAGCCCCTGCCACAGGCAGGGACACCTTCCACTAGAGCAGGTTGCTCCAAGCCCCTGTGTCCAACCTGGCCTTGAACACTGCCAGGGATGGGGCGGTCCTTCCCTCCAGCCTCCATACACAAGGCATGCCCTCCCCTCCTTCAGGGAATATAACTATTACTGTTATTAGCATATAAAAGAAATGGTAACATGGAGCAACTACAACAGGGTTCCAACCTCACATGTCACAGAGCAACCTTATAACCCTCAGATGCCACAGAACCAAGAGGAATCAATGGATTTGGTACCACATTTGCAGCCACTGATGGAGCATACCTGGAAACACCACTTCCTATATTAGAGGGACACTGCAAGTTTGGGACACAAGCTGGGATGGGTTAAAATACATGGAATTAAGAGCACTGATATTAAGCAAGAGCATCCACAGGGTGTGTGTGTGGGGGTAACCAATTCTACACCTCTGCTTTTGCTCAGGCTTTCATTAGGCACCAGCATCGCATAAAGCTTTCTCTCTAGTCGAGTGACTTAGGGACAAGAAAATACTGTAACTAAAGCATCTTTCTGGCTATTTGTGTGCCCCATTTGCACATTCATTGCTGGTAGGTAATAGAACACCCTCCAACATGAGCCTGCATCACCACATACACCTTTGCTTTCAGTCATTTCTGCAGATGCTTCCTCACAACAGCCCAATCTGTGCCGGTGTAAAACCAAACCTCAGCATTCACCAGCCAACTCCAAACCACTCCCTGAGATGAAGAGGGTCAGCAGCTGGAGCTGCAGTCACTGAGGAGCAGCCTTCCCCTGTGCTCTCCATTGGGAAAGCAGAACTCCATCAGCCCTTCCTTAGCATCTTGCTGCACAGCAAGAACTGGTTCTGCAGGGAATAAACTAGTGTATGAACTGCACGGGATGAAGGGTAAGAGGAAGCTCTTTGAGAAGCAGCATCACGAGGGGTAGCGCTGCTCCTGTGACAGCAGCTCTTCTTCCATTTTTATAGGAAGAGGAGGGAATATTCTCTCTCCTCCTTTAGCAACCTGCACTGATTTACTGTAGCTGGGAATAGAAACATGCCCGATGCGATTCAGGGAGGGAGGGTGGATGATGGTGGTGGGGAGGAGAAGAAAAATAGCTTTTAATACACCAGGAATTCTGCTTTTGAAACAGAGCACTGAAATATCCCACCGAAAACCATCTGCACCGGTGCAGCGACACAGATCACAGCCCTGGGAGAAAAAACACGAGGGTTGATTTATGTGGCTGGCCCCATCCCTAACCCATTTGTTCCTGAAGGATTAACAAAGCAGACTGCATTAACTCTGGTGGCCATGCGTATGTCAGTGGGAAGCAGGATTCATTAGCTCAAGCTCCAGCACCACATAGAGCAGGCAAAGGCTCAGACCAGGGAGCCACAAAGCAGCGGCATCCCCGGCACGGCGAAGCCCATCTGCCGCACGGTGGCACTCCTCCTCCGGCACAGGACAAGGTGGGAGCAGCCCTGGAATGATGAAAGGCTGATTCTTGTCTTCCTCTGCAAGCTTGCTGCATTATTCAAAGGGAGCGGAACGCGGCGCTGAGCATCTGCACGCTGCGGTGCAGGGCCCCCCCTTCCCACGGGAGCACGTTCCTCCATCTGCATTTCTCCAGCCGTATCTCATTTTGCCACGGGAAGGCTCAGGTTAAATCCTGCAGCACCCAATTACAACTGAACACGATTTCAAGCGTGACGACAGGGAAAGATGGGTTACAAATGAGAGTATGGGATTGCTCCTGCAGGAATCATGCAGCCGTAGGTACCTCCCGCACCATACGGAACGTTTTCCATGTCTGATTTGGTATTCAAGGTGCTTCAATTCGTTGTCCTTTCTTCCTTCCCTGGTGCAAGCTGTCACAGAGGTCTCTAGACGTACAGAAATGCCTTGTCCTCTTCCAGTGTGGGTACAAATCGAACACAGCTCTTGTAAGATGCTCATTTAAAAACCAAACTCCGTTCCCTTATTTTTCCTCCTGTCTTCTGTTTATCAAACCTCTTTCCACCTCTGTCTCAGGCAAGTTGGACACCTCTCCCTTATTTCTAGAGCACAGGATCTAAAATCTTAAGGCACATCCTTTGTTTTAACCACAGGAGTAAAGCTGGAAGGCTTGTCTGGAGCTCAATGACCTTTTCGATGTGGCTCTTACACCCATCTATGCAGCACCTAACTCTACACATAGCTCTCTATAAGCCCCAGAAGAAGATAGAACAAAGGCATTTTTGCTCTTTTCAGCTCTTAAGGATTTCTCTCTCAAGCTGCAATTCAAGCCCAGCCTCCTGAGAGCAAGACACAGCACAGGGGTGGATACTGCTGGCACCTTGTCAAGCCAACACGGTGATGGAGCAGAACAGGAGCAAACCCATGTTTGTGACAAAGCAAGAGTAAGCTGGTACACCCAGTGCTGCAAATTACAGATATGGAGGCTGTGATTCTGCAGGGAGGAGCAAGTGAGGAGTTAATACATGCGGGAGGATACAAGGAACCAAAACCAGCCTAGCACATAGCAGGAAAACGTGTTGTTTACTTAAAACCCGAGTGCACTGCAGAAGTGCTCGACAGCAGCAGCTCCACCGCTCAGTGCTGCCCCCAGCAGCAGCCGGTTCCAGCAGATGGTACAGTTTTCAGTGCTCAAGTTCTCTCCCGTGTCAGATGGAAACCTTTGGAAGGCAGCAAGGGAACAGAAAAAAAACCAACCCCAAACCAAAACCAGCAACAACAGAACAAGCACTTTTGAGAACGTCAAACTTCTTCACAAGATTTAGGAAAAAGAAAAAGAAACAAGACCACTCTTACAGTATAAACACGCCAATTCATTCATTTTACTGATGGTTGCATTTATGAACTTCATTCTCGTGGAAAAAAAAAAAAAAGGAATAAAAGGAAAAAAATTAAGAAAATAGCTATTCATAGAAAACAAAACCCAAAAAAAAAAAAAAGGGCTCAAACAGAAAAGAATCTGTGCTGATGCTTTTGATGAGCAGTCCGATGGCATTAACCATTACCTGTGCAAGCAGGCATGCTTGAAAACCTGTTTGAGTGCTGTAGCTTCAGTTCCACAATCCAGGGTTTCTTTTATGGTTGTTGGAAAAGAAAGAGCCTAATAGTTTCATACTGTATTTATTTAATAACTAAAATTCACAAATAAAAAGATACTTGCAAAGTCCTTTAGTTGTGTCATCCCCTCCTCCTCCACTCTACTGCTTTCAGACCCATATGCATAAAAAATGGGCTTGGATTTAACTTTTAACTGCTATATGATTGGTCGTTGGAGCTGAAGCACCAAATGGAGAAGATGCTTTATGGAGATGAGGGTAGAACCCTTTGCCTTCCCACACACGTTGGAGGAACACAGGAGATGTACCAGTGCCCGGACTCCTCTGCTCCCATTTCCCCCACCCAGAGCATTCCTTTCGTTTTATATTTCCTCTGTTAAGTGACTGACTGTAGCCTCTTTTTTCCCCCCTTTCTGTCCTTGCAGGACTGCAGACACGTTGGACATTGTTCATTCCTTACTCCGCCAGGCTTTCAGTCAGTGTCAAGTAGGTCCTGTTACAGCTCAGTGCTAGTTGGTTTTTAATGGGTCTTTTTATTTCAGGTAGGTTTGTGTGTCGATTCAGAAGGCTTGCTTATTTTCTTCCTTGTTTGTATCTGCCAAGCTGCTGGATAAGGCTATTCATACTCCAGGAACTGTTTGTGATAGAACAGCAAATATCTGCAAGAAAGCAGAGGTAGAGTTTCAGCTCTCTGCTATGCACCACAGCAGATTAGTGCTTCCATTCATGCGATCATAAGAAATGAAGGCTATTAATTTTGTTTTGCTTTTCAATTTGAAGCAATTCCAGGGACATGCCAGCTCCCTACAGTAACCATGGATGAGGAGGAGGGAAGCCAGCTGACATAATTTCACCAGCAACTCGGGAAGCTGAGCAGTTGTACATCAGTCAAACCTTCTTCTTGTACAGAATCCTCTTAGAACCTGAAAGCTCTGGAAGATTGGATGTGTTGGTACCCAGACAGGGAGCATCCATTTAACAGCATCATGACATAAAACACACAGAGCTGCTTTAACTGTTGCTTTGGAGTCACATTACCAAAGCATCAGACGCTTTGGATTATTGCAAACTGTCTGCCATTTACTGTTCCAGAAGCAGGATGAAGAACCAGGCATGTGGGGGAAGACTCACGTGTCCCAATCAAGTATCTCATGTCTCAATCTGTACTCAAATCTGGTGTTTTAATAGGATGGAATTCCTCCTGTCCTTAATTACTTTATGTGTACTGCCACACAAGTGAGCCCAGCCCTCAAGCAGTTATATGCCAGAGGGAAGTGGACTCATCTCTACACACGCCACAGTGTCACTGGCTGACCCTCTCTTAAAATGCTTCAAAGCACTTTGGTGACTTTCCAATTATTATCCTTCCATCTCATGCCCTATGGAGCTTCCCTCGTACAGCGCAGATCTCCTTAGTGTCAGCCTGGAGCTGAACCTTGTACAGTGCAGATCTCCTTAGTGTCAGCCTGGAGCTGAACCAGGGCCAGAGCTCAAACCAGGCGGACGAGATGGATGGGCAACAGTTGTGTTGAGTATCGTCTCCTCCTTGCCTAGGGACAGATAGACCCCACTTGAGGACCAGAGCTGGCCACTTGTGAGTGAAATAAAACAAACTCCTTTTGGTGCAGTTGCCAAATCATTAAGCACTAAAATTCAGCTATTATAGGACATGATTTACTTCATAGAATCACAGAATAGTTAGAGTTGGAAAGGACCTTAAGATCATCTAGTTACAACCTCTGCCATGGGCAGGGATGCCTCACACTAGACTTCCTGGTTGAAGTTTTAAAAAAGAAAATAAATAGGAAAATCTGTTAAAAAAAATATGACAAACTGAGCATCTGTGACTGCAGCAATCCATGGAAATGTAGGAATAATTAAACAAGAACAATAAATGCTTCTCTTTCTAGTACCAGGTCCATAGTTGAAAATACAAAATGAAGACTTCTGATTTTAAGTTACCTTATTCTTGGAAAATACACCAGTCCCATAAATGAGGAATACCAGGATGCTCCCCTTGCAAACGCTTGCTCTGCACTCCCAGTCCTTGCCTAATGCAGTTACAGCCAGTGCAAAGTCAGCTGATCCATCATAGAACACCAGGTTGGAAGGGACCTCAAGGATCATCTGTTCCAACCTTCCTAAAGCATGAAGTAAGTAAAGCATGATCCAGACTAGATGTCCCAACACCCTTTCCAGCCAGATCTTAAGTGTCCAATTTTGGGGCATCCTCCACTTTCCTGGGGAGATTATTCCAGTGGCTGGTTGTTCTCATTGTGAAAAGGTTTCCTCGTGTCCAGTTGGAATCTCCCCAGAAGTAACTTGCACCCACCACCCCTCATGTTTTTCCCTGTAAAAAGGGAGTCTCTTTCTATCCACCATTTAAATAATGGAACAATGTCCCTTGTCTTTCCCCTCTTCTTCTTTCCACAAATCCAGGATCATAAAGCAACCCTCTGAAGCACTGACATACATACATAGAGACAGACATTACATAGTCAAAGACAGAAATTACATCTTCTCTATGCTGAAAGGGTTTTTGATTGAAAGTAAGGAAACCCCACCAAAGTTTCCCTTCCTTTCCCCTTTCTAGTTCACAACTTACCCTTCACTGTCTAGCACATCCTTAATGCTAGCCTTGGTGATAATGGCATCATCACACTTGAACCACTGGTCCTTGTGCTGCCGGATGAAGCTGGTATAGTGCCCGCTCTCCAAGGTTCCCTGGTGATTAACTACTGCAAACAAGGAATACCTGGTACAGGAAAGAGTTAATGAATATGTGGATCAAAAGGGGGAGAAGACAGGCAAAACCTTATGTTCATAAGCACGTGTAGCAATAGTAAAGGATGTGATCCATCAATAAAACACCAGCTCTTAACGCTTACTGGGAAGAGGACATCCTTGCCCAGGAACAAAACCCATGGTTTTTCTTTTCTGCCCTGCTATTACTGCAACAGCTCCAGGCTGATGACAGCCATCACCTTCCCAATACTGGCTACCAAAGACTTTTCTTCTAAAATAGACCAATATTGATGGAAAGGACCACTGACTACCCAGTCTGAGCTTCTATTTCCCCCAATTAGTTATTCTAGTGAACCAAAAGAACATAGCTGTTTTGGGATAGGGAAGGAGATAATCTTAAATATAGCTAATCTGAGATGTTTCTAGTAATAAATTGCTGTACTGATTTAATTGTCCTTAATCTGGAAAGTCAGTACCTATTTTGAAATCCTGAATATACACAGCTTCAATTTCCAGCTTTCAGACACCTGCTGGCCTGAAAACTAGCAGACACATCTCCATTCCAAAGGAGGATACTGAAGTCCTTGGCTCTTTTATTCTAAGGTAAGATAATGTTTGTAGTGGCTCTTTTTCATATGTTCTCCACTCTCTTAAAATGCTATCCTCAAACTGAGATACAAACTCTGTAAAATAACCTCACCAATCTCATTTGGTGTTGTTCTATTTATGATCAAAATTCAGAGCTCTTTTGACACTGCGGTGCCACAAGATGACACCTGTTCAGCTGACTCTCTACAGAGTCACTCTTCCTAGTAGGGTCCTTTAATCCAACTAGGATGAGCACTGCTCTTTAGTCCTAGGTGGAGGGTTCTAAGGTTGCTCCAGCTGTTTACTGGGCCTCTGTTCTCATTAATCTTTTTCACTGTTAACAACTTCTCCAATTTAAGACACATGCAAACCTCAACAGTGATCTGTTGGGTTTTCTTTTCAGATCTTTGCTAGCACTACTAAACACCATACATCTAATGAATCAATTGCTACAGGGCCACAAATAACACCAGCCTGGTTATCTGCTTGTATGACAACTGCACCAAGACCTGGTTAGGTAGTTCCTAAATCTTATTGAGTGATTCCCATTTCTTAACGGAACATTCAGTGCCAAATGAAGTGCCTTGAAGAATTTTAACACACAACATCAGCACATGACTGTAGCAAACTTATCCTTCTTTATTAATAAGGTTTGTGTAACCATCTCTATTGCCATTAAGCTGTGGATATTCATTTCAATTACACAACCTTTACATCCTTGAGCAAGACCCGTATCAGCCCATCATTTATTCTGTCTGGAATCAATACCTGACCAAAAGACCCCACAATTACTGGAGTCATCTCTAGGGACTTTGAGTGCCAGTGTTCTATAAACTTTCATTCAGTCCTCTGGAACTCCCTTTGCTATTGCAATTGAAATAGGATTATTTAAAGGAAACACCCATCCCCTTTAATAATGTAACCATAGCTTTTAATTCTGCTCATAGGGTTATTCTGCTGGGGTTATTACCTTTGGATCTGAAAGTCAGCTGCCACAAAGCCACCAAAGGGTAGGCAGTTGTCATGAATGAAGCTTTGTTTTGCAACAGTTCAGACTTACTGTGCTGTAAAATATAGCAATGCACTTCACACTGCAGGATATACAGCAGACTGTGTATCTCCCTTCTAGAAGCCAACTACCTTCCACAATAGGAGTCATGGAAAGTACCACTTACTTATTATCATTGTTTAGACTATCCGTCGGCTGCTGGTATTGCCCGTTCATTCTGCTCTCTTTACTGCAACACACACACACACAAAAATCCAGTCACTTAAAGCAGTGCCTTCCCAAACCCAGGTTTTACATGACACAGCCCCTTGCAGAATGCAGGTCCTTATTCAAAAGCACAATGCTGCTCAGTGGCAGAGAAGGGCTGATTAGGATGCTAACGATGCTTTATTTGTTCTCACAGCAATGCTACATAAGAAACATCATTTCTCCTCCTGGACAAGGCTTCAGTGCTGCAAATACAGATTTATTTATGTCAAATGCCCTATCCAAAAAAGCTTAAAAAGAGGTTAAGAAAAGATTTGTATTTTAGATCTGGAAAAAGTATCTAATTACACCAATCCTTTATCCTGTGATGGGTCAATCACCCTGGCTCTGACTTGTAAATTCATTTTGTGTTTTGGCAGCAGCAGTAGGATTATGCTGTTGATTTCACAGCCAACGAAATTCAGACTACTGAGTTATGCCTGCTGATTATTCCCATCTATATTCCATTATGCTTGATACCTTTCATCAGCAGAGCCTGTTCTATCCAGGGAGAACTCACCACAGAGGAACAGGGAAATATCAAAATCTCAAGAATGTACTGGAATAAACCATATATTCTTAATATAACACTGTTTAACAGAGTTTCAGGGTCTCCTTTCTCTCCTGGTAGAAGCATCTAAATTATATCTGAATATCCTCCTGCATATTTGAATGGAATACCTGACAAATACTCATTAGCTTATTCAGTTTCTTTCATAAAGGCATATTGATATAAATGTCATGTCTTTCACATGGGGGTGGGAGAAGTCTTCCTGTTTGTTTAAATACCAATTAGAAACAGCTATTTTAATCTAGACTATGTTTTTTCTTCTTGCAGCATTCTCTGAACAGAAGTTGAAGGCACAAAACAAAAAAAAACCCAATTTTTGTGTGTGCAGGAATAAAGAGGAAGGGATTTTACAACTTCAGAAATATGAGGGTAGGCTCCAGGTTATGACTAGTCTGCCTAATTACACAAGGTGACTGGTGAATGAGCACTCAGGTGGTGGGACCAAAGCAGAGATCTGAAGGCTTGATGGATCTGAATTCTAAATTTAACATGCAACCAGAAACAGTACACACAGTATATAAATATATATATAGAAAGTTTAAATATCAAGCCTTTTCTAGCACACAAAACTCATTATTTTATCTAAACCTTAGTTTAGAAAAGATACACATTTCAAGGAGAAACTTACAGCAGAAGGATCATCATACATACTGTTCTATAACCTTGATTCAAGGAGGTTCCATGTTTCATGCTGCACATGTATGAACTGGTAAACAGTTCTGCCCAGGTCTTTGGGGGATTTTGAACTTGGTACACACCTGGAAGCCATGAATGGTGTCATGTCCAGCTCCAGCGGAAACGAGACATACGTAGTGATCTTTCGCCTCAGTTTGGCTGAGTGTTCAAACCGCTGGAGACAAAGTGGAGGAATGAAGTTATCTTTAGAGAAAGGCAACATTTTCTGTCTTATTTATACGTGTCCTAAGCTTAGGAACAGTAAGATGAAAACATATTAGCAGGCAAGAGTCCAGGGACATCCCCAGATCTTTTCTACCTACTATCTGGACTGAGAACCCCCATGTAAATGCCAACATACTTCTACCAGGACAGTAAACGACAGTTTGTTGGGGGGAAAAATATAGAATAGATTGTTTATCTTAATATTTATACATATAAATTTATTCTCAACTGACATTAAAATACATTAAACAGAGCACACACAGCCTCTACCCAAACCAGTGTTCATTTGTACTATGTGCTATTCAAATAGATGGCTGCTGCCTACACTAGCGCCCAGAACTGGTGACAATGAGAGCTTGCCATCAGATTCACACACTTAATCCACCCATCCAATCATCTCAAGTGACAGGAGTCAAGCCTACACAGGAAAACCAATTCAAATTGAGGCAAAAATGGAATATGAGAAGAAAAAAGCCTTGTCCCTCTGCCAAAGGAGCCTGCAATCCCCACCATCCTCTCCTCATCTTCTCGATTGCACATTAAATGGAAACAGGAACAAATACCAGAAAGAGATGAATGAGTTTCTATTTAAAGGCAGCTTCTCTCCCCGTTTCTCAGAAATTCTGCTCTATTTACACTTCAAGTTAATTATTTTCCAATTGTGGTGCCATAACAATTCCCTAGCACAGATCCAGCCACGGAAAGCTGAGACTTCTGGAATCCTTATCTTTAGTGTTTCTTTTTCTACTGTAACCCATGAAATTAAATTTGCATTTTGCATGGACAGGACAGCACAATTGCTAAGGAAAAGTCATCTATTTTCCAAAAAACCCCATAAAATCTTCAGTCACTTTGGATAGCACAAATACTGAGCTGAATGGAGGGAAGGGGTTAGGCACATCCACATTGCCTTGCCCACAGACTGCAGCATCTCCTGGGTGTATCTTGCCAACTACTCTGCAGTAATAAATATAAGATAAACCCAAGAGCCCAACAGCCCCAGAATTCCCTCCAGAAGCCAAGCAGCCAGCCAAGCACTCCTGAAACCTCTAGTTACTCATACAAGAATGCTGTTTAGGGAGATCACAGCCAAAAAAGAACAAAAGAACTCTGCTATCTCTTTCCAGCCTGGCTAATATCTTTGGCACGAAACATTGCATATCATCATGGTTAATACTCAAGATGCAACTGAACAACTGCTGGTATATGGGGGTGACCATCTGAAAGCATGATTGTCCCAGTCTGAAAAAGCCTGTAAATTACAGAAGAGGGAATTCTTTCTACCTGGAACACATTTTCCCAGTAGAAAGCAGAATACAGACCTATGGCATTCTGTTTTCACGTCAAGACCTCGTTTCATTAACAAGCTTCTCTACAAGCCAGACTTTGAAAACAGATTTTAAATCACTGCTCTGCTGGATACAGAGGTGTTATGGAATTTAACAATTCCAAACTACAATCATTTCCTGCATACAGTCCATGACTTGCTCAGTGAGACCACGACACTACAGTTACACATATCATTAGATTTTTCAGTATGAACATACTGACCTGGCTTAGATGCTACAGCAAAGTTTAGCATGCGCTTTGCCATGACAGCTAAAAGATAAAGGTCTCATTCCAATGCTATTAAAAGTCATCCAGGTGTTTTACAGAAGTTCAAAGCCTAGAAACCATGCAAGAATTGAACAACTGAATGAAGTCTCTGGAGTAAATGGCTGGAACGTGTGTTCTTTCAATCTACCATTGCCCAAATGGAAAAAGCAGCAGTAGAAGACTTCATTTGCACAGAGCATACAGGCTGCTGTTTTCAAAGTCTGTTTCCAGTCACCACAGTTGTAGGTAAAATGCTGGTTTTCCTTTACATAGCTCATGTGACATTAGTGTCATCATCAGGTAAGCAGTTTCTTGAAACACTGGTCACAGTAAGAGCTGAGGTGAGTTATCATCAGTTGCTGCCTAGCAATGAGAGGACTTTGTCATTCTGTCCCAGGAGACACTCAGGATCTTAGAGGTTTGCATCTGAACAACTCAAGCAGACCAAAGATGCAGTTAAATTACTATGATGGCTGCTTTTACAAAGGCCTGTGGCATCATTTTACAAGGACCCTTTGCCTCTTGACACAGAAAGACCATCTTCTGTGGTAGCTGCCTACTTCGCACCACAGTCACTCTTCATATTTAAGACACAAACTGTACAGGACTAAACTATCCTGAGGGTACCAGCTATGACATTATCTCCCCCCATCACTGCATCTGACAATCTGGATTGGAAATGTTGAAAACTACATCACAGCTGGGAAGATACAAGAAACCTTTTCCATTGCAGTAACTTTTTCATGCTTTTCCTTCCACATAGAGTTCCTCTGTGGCATTCTTCCAGGAGAAGAGTAGGGTAAAAATGTTACCATGCAGGATGAGTAAGTGTTTTTGGAGACTGGTTTCTGCGCTGATTCAGGAATTGCACTGGCCCTCCTCTTTGTTTCTAGATTCTGCTTAGTTGGGTTCCCACAGATGTACCACAAAGCTACATTATGGACAATGTAATACTATCTGGGCGTGCAAGCTGTTCTTTATATTAATTTATATCATAAAAGATTAGTCTGTGAAAGCCAGAAGATATGTCCAGGAATTCAGTTTATCCTCTCAGAGAGGGATACACATCCTCTGCTTCGTCTGTCCCCTGTGAACTTACTTTGAGATGAAAACAGGCCACGATGGGTAACTTCTTCATAGTGAGTTGTTTGGTAGATTCCTGGTAGCTATGGCAACCACTACATTTGATTTTGGCACTGCTTCCTAGATGTTCTGGCCTTGTAAACCTGAAAAAAACATTGAAAAGCAAAGGGAAGCACAAAACAATGAGATGATTTTCCACACATGCTGAAAACACTCCTCTTGCTTTTACTTGTTGGTCACTGGCACCACAAGAAACAGAGTTCATGGCTTTTAGCTGTCATATTGAAAGAATCCAACATCTATAATAATGCAAAGTGCTAGAGTTCAGATACCCAAATCTGACATTTATCATTGCTCTACTTGGGAACACTGTACTGGAATGCATCAGTGTCTGAGAAAGGAGCTAAATGTTAATTCACCTCCTGCAACAGGACAGCTGATCTTCATATGGAAAACAAAGATCTTTCCTTTTCAAAACCAAAAACATTGATATGAAAGTTCTGAAGCAAGATGACAAGACTTGTGGGCTCAGCTGCAAGACACTCTTCTGCCTTGTAGCCCTCCAGGGCTAGGATCAAAGCTCTGAGATGGAAAGGGCTGTAAACACAAAGTTCTTTTCGAAACACAGACATCTTCCAAGGAAACCCAAGTGTTGACAACTAGAAAAATCTCTTTCAAAGTGTTCAGACAGAACTGCTCAAGGGAGCTATAGGAAGAGACCATTACAGAACAGGGAACTGCTTAGAGAAAATATTACTTCTATGTTCTCACAACACACTAAAGCAAAATCTCTTTTTCAGAAACTGTCAGCACAGAAAAGGCTCAGAGAATGGACTACTGAGCCTTTTCCTCCAAGTTTAGACTTCCAAGGGGCAAACAAATCATCTCAGAGGCTGCTTTACAACTAGGATTTTTGAGATGAAAGGTTTTGAAACAGAATTGAACATTTTAAATTAATTAATGCACACACTGAGCATGTGAGGGCAATGTGGTATCAGCTCGTCACTAACCCTACCTTGCCTCCTTCTGTTTAGGGTCAATGCAGCCTCCGGCATTAAACGATGATCACAGCCTCCTGGTCTCCCCTCTTGTTTGATTAACAGGATTTCCTTTACCTAGCCTATGTACCATGGAATCATAGACGAGTCAGGGTTGGAAAGGACCTTAAGATCATCCAGTTCCAACCCCCTTGCCCTGGGCAAGGGCACCTCACCCCAGACCATGTTGCCCAAGGCTCTGTCCAACCTGGCCTTGAACACTGCCAGGGACGGAGCATTTACCACCATCGTTCTCTGGTTTTGATTTTGTTTGTGATTTACTTCTTTTTCTTCTCTCTTAGGTGTGTAAACAGGCTTACAAAATTGGTGTAACTGTCAGGAGTGCCTGCATCTTTCTGGGTTTTGTCATATTCCTGCTCAATCCTTCCTTTTTCGAGCCAACTTCCAAGTTGCATGGCCACACCGCTTGACATTAAGTTACACACCTTCCTTGCTTGAATCTAATATTCAACCTGCTTTCTAGCTTTTGAGTTAAAACCTAGACCTGTCCTCTTTATCCATTACAGTTCAACTTCTTTCCAAAATCCATACTCTTTAAGAGTATCTTTGAACCTGGATGTTTTCCCTTCCCTATCATCATCTCTCTCTGATCCTACTAATCCCCATCTTGAAGAAAACAACCAAAATTCAACCGGTTTGGTATTCCTGCATCAGCAATTTCTCATTTGTACTAACTCCCTTTTTCTCTCAAAATTATTGATCTTAGAAGTATCAAGAAGGTTAGAAATCATATGTCAGAGGCCATGAGTTTTTACTTCAGGAGGATTAGCTTTGCCCCAGGCTACAGTTAACCTCTTCCTTAGACAAGTATCTTCAACAAATATCTGCATTTACCACAAGAGAATGACTTCCAGATCTGTTAAAAGATCCAAGTTAACACTATATGAAGCCATAACATTCTCCCCAGTTACCTGTTTCCAAGATGCCCACGTTTCCTGCTCAGAATGATCTTTTCTTTTTGAAAGCTCCATTCCTTTAATTCTTAATGTCACCCCCACAAACAAGCTGTAGCAGTAGCTGACCCTCAGCTTTGCTTAGAGCAAAAATCAGATTCATACTTGCTGTTGTAATTTAGATAGATGTTAAATGCACTGTGAACTCTTTATGTACTTGCTTTGCTGACACAACCAAGAACATGGAGACAGACACCAGTGGTTTTGATTATTTCAACCCACATTGCCTGGCAGCAGCCAACGTACAATTTGTTTTCTTCTTGCATCGCATGGCAACTGGTTTTGATTGCTTATTGTGAGGCCAACTGTTGCTCTGAGCCTTCTTTGCCTTCTCACTTTCTCTTCTATACTAAAATCTGTATAAAAAATGCTTCTTTACCCCACCAACATCGTATTTGTCTCATTTCCTACCTTCGCAAGCAGTCTGTGAGAGTGGTGGTGCCCGATACATGGCTTTCCCCATTTACGACACTGCCATCACTCCCTGGACTCAGCGGCCAGAACGGGGTGGAGGAGCCTGGCAAATCCAAACTGATGTCCCAAAATGGGTCTATCGTTGTGGAAACGCCACTGTGAAAAAGAAAGCCGTTTGAAACACGTTTAAAGGAAGTCAAATTAACAGCACACCAAATACTTTGAGGAACCAATAGGATCTACATCACCCCTAGAGGGCACTCAAAGATGACAGAAAACAGAGTTGCTCCAGAGTATTTTCCCACAGCTGATTGGTTTTCTGAATATTTAAAAGCCATAGGGTTTTAGGAAACATCTGTGATGTACTAAATGCAAAATATATGCACTTAATACATTCTCCCACTCACTGAAGCCCTGTGATTCAAAGTGACCAAGCAGGGTTACTTGGAGATAGAGGCACCACTCATACTACTGACCAGTATAAACCAGCTAACATTATGATGATAGCTGTATGCGATCTAACTCGTTTAGAAGTAGAGGTCTCTGGTCATGACATAGAAGACTGTGTTTAAGGTTACTTTAATAAAGACAGAGCCAAATTTTGCTGCAGAGTAGTGCACTGAATTAAACTTTGCAGTTCCTGTTAGCATCTCCTACAGTGTTTGGAGTTTGAGAGGTCAAAGAAAAACTGCATCAAGAAGTAGTGTGTGTTCTCCATCAGATTTCTCTACAAGACAGCTGAAGACAAGCCAACAGCTAAACTATGGAAGAAGCTTCCCAAAGTGTTAACTTGCATTGACTCAAATCTTCTCTTTCAGCATTTACATTTTTAAGAGAACTCCAGAACTTCAGGGGTGTAAGCTCCTCATTTGGAAGTACTGCCTGTTTGCACTCCTTATTCTTCTTATTCGAGTTCTCTCTTCCTCTCAAACTAGTGTCTCTCACTCTGCAATCTCATCAAGCCTGCAATACTCTGCCTTTCTTTTTCAGCTTCATTTGTGCAAAGGTTGTCAATTTTCAAAAGAAAACTTCTTTTGTTAAAGTTTCATCAATGCTAATATTGTGTCATAACATACTGAGCTTTTCATTATCATATAAGGATTCTGTGGCTCTACCAGGCAAAGAACAAGATTTCCTATGTTTTCCTTACAGTAAATCTTCTTCAAATGTCTTCAGGAAACTGAGAATAAAAGCAGATTCAAACAAGCACAGAACAAGTCCATTTGCAGAACAGGATATGTAATTATAAAGAATGCAAGACAGAACAAACCCCAAGAACTCTGACTTCTGCACTATGGCAATAGCAAACATCTTGAAAGAGAAGTCAACTTGCTCCAGTACACAGAGTAGAACAACAGACATGTTCTTCCTTACACTTGTCAAACATTCAATTGCTGGTACCCGAGATTACATGAGGTGTCAGCCTCTTTGAACCCTCTCCTGATGATACATGAGGCTCCTAACTGAAGGAAGATATGGTTTCATATCAGAATTTTCTTCAAATATAGTGGCAATTACATACTTGGAAAACCAAAGAAGTCTTTTCCTCATGAACTTGGAGAAGAACAATCTTCTATAGACTAGTAAAAAGTCAAACAAGCCTGTGGTACTTTCCAGGTAGCTTTTTTTGCTATGTCTTAATATATGTCAATTAACTGGTATCTGACTGCATTAAGCTGATGCTGTATTTAAACAGCTCTTGTCTTGCTGGAATTTTGCTAGTATTTTATTGGTATTCGAGAAAGAAAAGACTCAGTTGCACTGGAGGGTGTAAAGATTCAAATCAGAGTTCAGAACCAGAAAAAGAAGTACTTACTGGCAGACTTGACAGGTAACATCAGACTGCAGTCCGCCTGTGAAGATTTGGTCTATGATGCAGTTACAGTGGTTGGGGTTGTTGGCCTTCTTCCCATTATCATCACCTGAAGGAATGCAAACACAGGCTCAGAAGTCAAAAATCCTCCGAGGGAACAGTGGTTGCCTTGGACTGGGTCTCCAGTAACTCTCCATAACTTAACAAAGTTCACATAGACAATACAGAACTCTGAAAATGTTGTGCACTGAAGAAAAATCAAGGAAACAAGAAGAGAACACCTAGAAAAATATAATACAATCAGAAGGTGACTAAATGCAGTTAACTCCTTTAGAGGTGAAGACTTAAAGCCATTAATGGCTGTTAGCCAAACCCTTTTTGGGGGTATAGCTCTATCCCCCTTTACAGAGATTTGCTTAGTCCTGTCCAGTATAAAGATCAGTTCCTAAGATGAAGGGGTTGTCAAGGTGCTTCATGAAAAGGAGTATTTAACCTACACTTAAGAGTGCCATCATGCAACACTTGTACCTGAGCAAGTGGCCAGCTCCTTACTACAGAAGCATTAGTTTCTGCTTAGGCAGAGTATTCGATAGCACAATATTTCTCCTAAATGACAGAGAGAGGAACCATCAAGCAAATGCTACTCTTTAATTCTATCCCAGTCAACTTCTGAGAATAGAGTGAGGGGAGGTTTGTCAAGACACATCAATCTCCAGCCTGCTGTCTGCGTTCCATCCTTTCAACATCAATGTGGACTTTCCATGCAAGTTTCCACCAGAGAGAAAATGAAAGATGTCCTTATCTGAAGCAGGAAGATAAGGGCTCTGTCGTCCTCCAGCTTCTTCAGAGGCACAGCAATCCTCTGAGTTCCCAGGGGGCACAATGAACGCATACCCATCTTTTAGCCATTATCAACTGCAGGAGCACAGCAGTTCATTTTATGGTTTGAATGCTGAGACTAACCAGAGCATTAAATAACCAAAAGTTTCTTGGCATAGTTCTCAGCTTTGAAGCATACTCCTTCCATTCCCCATAGGTGATATACTTCTTTGATTTCCAAGACTGTTTACTGCTTATTTTCCTTGGGCAGGCCAGATGCAACTGGGATTGCTTTGTACACAGAGATGCACACACAAACACAGCATCAGCTGATTATTTTGTAAAGTACATCTTTGGGTGTCTCTTAGTCTCTTACAATAGAAACTAAGAAGTTTCACCAGGTTTTCTAGTATCTTTAACTTACTAGGAAGCATTTAATAACTGAAACACTAGGATGCTGACTTGCCAAATCACAGCTGTTACTCAAAACCAAGAAACCTCACCTGAAGACACTAAAAGCATGGGGCAAACCCCACCACTTTGTGTCTAAGGTGCTCTAGCTGGAGTGTTCTTCAGCAAGAAGCAATGTGACTTCTTTCCCAATGAAGCTTTAGTAGTTTGTTGAGAAAAGCAAATGTAAGTGATACCTACCAAGCTGCAATGGGCCACTTCAGTTAATTCAATCCTAAATGCCTCAGAGAAGTTCTCACTCAGCTGCCTGCTTGAGAAACTCATTTGAATTGCCAAGAGAAGCACACTGTGCCCTTAAAATGGCTCTTAACAAAATGCACTAGAATTGGATTTCAAATGTATGAAGTTCAAGTCAGGGGTTATCAGACCCAGTCTCAGGCATTTCTTGATGGGAATTTCAACTAAATCTTACTGAACTTAAGATCTTTAGAAGGTCTTAATTATGCTAAGCTAATGAAGAGAGGTATAGAGGCTGTACAAGATATTCTTCACCTTTAAAAAAAGATCACTTACAAGCTTTAAAGACTACATGTGGATTTTCAAGAAATGAATTTAGTGCTTTTTATCCTTGTTTTTAAAACTCCACTTTTCCTTTTTAAAGGAAAAAAAACCCCTGTCACATCCTGGTAATCTCACCATTTGAAACATTATTTCCCTCTGTTTTGTTTCAAGGGGGCAGAAGCAGAGAAACAGCACTGAGAGATTTCCCCTGGCCCACACAGGTACCATCTCTGTTGGACACTGTTAATAGACAGCCATTTCCACTTACAGGAGAGAGCAAATACTCCCTTTCCAATTATACAAGTCAATTAGGATCAGTGACGAGAGGGTCTCCAAAGAGGCTCCTGCAAGCTTGTTCCCAGCAAAACAGAAGGGTATTACCCACTCAACATTATTTCCCATGACATTTGGTTGGAGAGGAGGGAGGAAAAAAAAGAGTAAGATTACCACCTACTCACACTTGTCAATATGGAACAGATGCTAAGAGGAGGTATATTATGCAGCTGAGAACTAGAAGCTGCTAGATTGTTGTGCTTCAGTTAAGGCTCCCTTCGACATGTCTGTCTTACAAAGTAGGTTTTAGTTTAATACATATTTTTGTTCTAAAGCTGCTCATAATTGCTATCAGGGAAATCAGTAAGAGATTGGCCAGTGCAAGACTAAAACCAAGCTTGGAAACACATCAATGTATCAAGTGATTTTGAGAATGGCAGAAAATTAAGTTTAGAAGTTTGGATTCAAATTAAATATCACTCTTTTAAAACAGAAGTTACTACTTCGTCTCTGCAATAACCAAGTATATTAACTTGGGTTCAAATACATAGGAAGAAAATTAACTCTATCCCAGCTGAAACCAGGACAGTATTTAAAGGTAAATCATACATAAAAGCTGTAGATTACTTTCTAACATTGCTTTTGCTTTGAAATAAAGAAGCTTTGCCTCCAACTTCTATTATATGTTTTAAATGAAATAAAAAAGGAATTTAAAATTGCCAGATTTAAAGGCATGTCAAAATAAGACATTAATACTAACCTTTCTGCTTTACTTTAGCCTCCAGTGATCTGAACAAGTGCTTGTTGTTCTTTATGTCAAAGCAGGGTACACATAGACTTATATGGATCATAGCAGATGACGTGTTCCACAAGCATATGTTTTATCAGCTCCTAAGAATACCATGAAGCATTCAGAGAGCAGGGTAGTGTTTTACTCCCAAACCTCAGCACAGCATTCTTTGTCATGATACCTAGCTTCACATTTGCTTTGTAGCAGTCCTTGTTAAAGATGAATGCAGAATGCTCCGAGAAAACCAGATAAATGAGGAATAATCAGCTTTAAAGTGCTACTCTATTTCTGTTAGACAACTGAATAACATTGCCTGAATAAAGCTTGGGATAAAAACACTGGATTACCTCAGTTTTTAATCTTGCTTTTTGAACCTTTGTGTACAAGTGCCCTTCTCAGCCACTCTCTGCTGCTTGATTTTTGTGGCTCTTGCAATAATAAAGCAAGCTAAACCACAGCCAGTGCTTTCACTGTGCTGAACATTAACTTGTGAACTGCAGTCTTGCTCCTTACAAGAAAATAACAGTTGTGGTCTCAGTTTCTCTCAGGTTTGAATATATCTGAGACAGAGTTAGTAAGCTACAAAGTGTCTGGATGATTGGGACCTCACTGCCATGGGAGCTTGCAGAAATACCCATTATTTATGTTCCTCTACAAATGAAGAGCCCTGGAAGTCCTGAAAGATCCCACATGAAGAATAGGGTACATTTTGCACTTGTTCTTCATAGAAAGAGTCTAAGAAAACATACAAGAAGCAACAGATCAATATCTGATCATTTTCAGCATCTTCTATAATCCAAACATACTCAGAGACCAGTCAGTCTGGCAAAGTCCAGGTGAATGGTTAGACTTTAGTACAAAGAAAGTGATCATTACCTACACAGCCAGGCTGTTTATAGCATTACTTTGGTAAAGAAGGTATGATCCAATGTAGAAAAAGCTCTAAAGCTCATTTGGAAGCTTTTGTGGTGAAAAGGACCACAAATACCAACATACAATGACACTGCAGAACTCTGAGCACTATCAAACCAGCAAGAGAGACCAGAATAACACCAAATACAGGTACAATTTTAACTGTCATTTAGAGTAGCAATGTTGGAATTCACATTCCAGAAAGGTCTCACTTTTTGAATTGGAGCATGTGTTTAAGGGCAGACCTTGTACACACTTTGGGTGAATAATAGAGAAATAGGAGTAACTCATATCTTCGCTTTTTCTTCCCCCCACCAAAATACTACTTTCAGGTTAGACCATCTTTCTCCAGCTGTTGGAATAAAAACAGTGATTCACAGGCATGATAGATTCGATCTCATTTATTCAGAACCATTTTATATTGCTCCAGGAGCACAGAGGAGCCTGTTAAGTGTTCAGAACATGCCCTGCAGATGCCACAGCTCAGCACAGCAGTGCTAGCACAAGGAGAGCTCTCACCCCTGAGACATGATTTACATGGGTGAGCATACAGGTATCCCAGGCTTCCAAACTTCACAGATGCCACTAAAACAAAGTATATATTGAACCAGCATATTTAAAGCCACCCAAACAACCAAACCAACCAAGCAGCTACCTGGGCCATCCATATAATCATCTCAGAGCAGTTAATTTTATGCTTCGTAGGATGCAGCATTACAAAACTAATCTTTAAATGGGCAAAAATCTTACTTTCCTAATTTAAGCAGTGACAGGTATCAGTAACAGGCATTCACAGCTTCCCCTCACTTTCATTAGGACACTTCCTAGAAAGTTGAGTCAACAGAATGGAAAAGGGATATTGGACCTGATGATCCTAAAGGTGTCTTCCAACCTGGTTGATTCCATGACTCCATAAATGACCAATGTCAGCCAAACAAGTATCACTGGATATTTATACAGTTCTTAACATAAGGAACACTTTCATTTACTTTGGTGTCTGAAGCCTTGGTGATCATGAATAATGTCCTGCATAGGGCTTTTAGTCAAAGTTGTCCCCATGACCCTTTTACTTCACTTTGTGTTAATCATAGAACTTGACTGTTATTGACTGGAAGCTTTAAAAGGTGTTTTTAGTCAGTAAAATAAATATGCAATATTAGCAGGGGAGGCCTTATTTGCTTATTGTAGCTTTAGGACACATTCTCACTATTAGTAATTATAGTTTTCCATATGTATACTTCACCTGTGTGTGTCTCTGTGCATACATGAGCATGTAAGTGGGAAAATGTTCTCATTACACAGCAAACTAATTCATTCCAAAAGCGGTTTATCATGACCAAACTTGAAACTCTGGTATAGATTAACTTGTTTGGTTCCCACACAACTGCTTAACCACTTCTTTTAAATCACCTTCATGTGGTATGGATTATTTACTGTAGTTTAATAAAAGTCTCCCAATTTCTCCAGAAACAGAAATCTAAGAACCTGGGTACAGAGATGGAAAGGATCTAGTGCCAATGCTTTCCCACTAGCAGCACTGTAACAGCTTAGTTATGCCCATGCAGGTAGGCTCAAACTTCAGGATATCCATTAAGTAACTGAATTTCAGTCCTTGTAAGTGGTACCTTTCCCACAACCCAAAAAAAGCTCAGTACTAAAGGTACAAAACTCCCTAATTCAATTCAAGCTGGCTGAAACCATTATGGAATTGGTTATCAATTCAGAAGTCAGTGTTTTCAACACATCTATGAAACCCATCAAATAGTACAAGAATCCATATATATGCACTCACTCTTTCAAACACAGAATATCCAACATATGACTGTTTCTAGTTTTAGCACAGATCCCAGTTTAATTTTCATTCAGGATGGAGAAGCCAAACAGAACCGAGAGTAAAGAAACTGCTGAGAAAACTTGATTTTTTTGGTAATTCCAGAAGAAACACGAGATACAAACTTCATTTAAAGCCAAACCAAAAAAAGTCTTTTCAGATTCTTTGTAAGTTTGAAAAGAACACAGGGACCTTTATTGTTGCATGGTTTTTCTTTACAATTCTGAGAAGAAAATACTAGTACTTCATGAACTAATCAGGAGGTATCTGGATGCTGGAGAGGGACTCTTCATCAGGGACTGTAGCCATTGCACTAGGGGGAATGGGTTTAAACTGAAACAGGGGAAGTTCAGGTTAGATATAAGGAAGAAGTTCTTTACTGTGAGGGTGCTGAGGCGCTGGCACAGGGTGCCCAGAGAAGCTGCAGCTGCCCCATCCCTGGCAGCGTTCAAGGCCAGGTTGGACAGAGCCTTGGGCAACATGGTCTAGTGCGTGACGCATCCCTGCCCATGGCAGGGGGGCTGGAACTGGATGATCTTATGGTCCTTTCCAACCCAAACCATTCCATGATTCTATGGTATAGAAGAAATACAAACATCATTTTACATCAAAGATGATGAAAAAGCTTCAAGATTTGTTAGCTCAATGGTTCAGAAACTTCACAGGAACCAAGAAGTATTTCTGTCTGCAGCTGAGTTCATTCAGTGTCAAGAAACGAGAGGTCAGTATTTGGGTAGAGGCTGTTCCTCAAAGCCCCTCAACACTAGTTTCATCAGGCTTGTTGCATTTCAGCTAGTGATTATCAAATGACAGATAATTATTACAAAAGAACTGTTCTATGTACTCCTGTCCTTAGAAGTACTCTCTTGGAGAAGCCTCTTTTGGAGGACACCTATTATGAAGCTGAACAAGCACATCTGCTACAAGGTACGAGTATCTCAAAGATAAAAGCAAGACTTCAAAATGCTTCAAAGCAGCAGCAGCAGCCTTCCCTTTGATAGACCTCTGATAAGCCAAAACCCTAACCTCTAGGTGCTTTTTCTAAGAGCATTAGAAGAAAGCTGAGTGCTTTAAAGCTTATTTCTAGTGACTAAGGACTTCTTTCTTTGTTTTGCTAGTATCAACCCTAGGGTTTTCTCCCCCTTACAAGAATGGGAAGAATTTTTGCACTTAAGTAAGTGAACCAAGCTACATCAAACATTGGCAGACTGGGCTCAGATTTAGTTCAGGTAACCAACATGAAACACATCATTTCACATGGTATTACCAAATCAATTCAACACTTGGATACTTCATCTATAAAAGCATGTCAATGAATAGTTCTACTGTGTTGCATGATCACATATTTTTTATATACAGACTAGTAAAACAAGATACCACAACCAAATATTACTTTTTTTCCTATTCATGTTTCTGTAAGCAACTGGGAATCATAAATACAGTAGAATACTACTTAAGCAGAACAGCCATAGCCTCCCCAGTGTCATTTCCATCAGTCCCATGATACGCTGAGCAAGAGTTCTAAGCACCTCAAGTATAAATAGAATTAGAATGGTAATTTAAGAGAAAAGACAGTGACTCACACCAATAAGAGAACACCATGATGGTGACTGAAGCCAATGTAGAGGCTTGTCTGCTTCTAACTCTAAGTAAGTTTTGACAGTTATGGTTTATTTATAAAATCTTTTCCTTTAAATCTACCAAGCATTTTAAAAGGAATCTGCTAAAACTGCTGCTGGAAGACACTAAACTTGATTTAAGAAGAGATTGTTCTACCTCTTTTTGATCCAATATTCCTTGTTGATTGAAGACTCAGGACAAGCCTTACCTTTGCAGTGTCTGTGTAGCACATCTAATGCAGCAATGAGGAACTCGTGTGCATCTTGTTGCTCGTACCCTGCTAAATGCCGTGCATGAGTCCATACCAGGTGCAATAACCTATATGGAATGTGAGGAGATCGGTGCCCAGAGTAAAACTGCTCAAAGCAAAGAAAAGGACATGACTGTTAACAAGTTACACAGCCTCAGTGCATTTAATTATTAAAATCTTCAATGAGTGCAGTTAGTCAAATAAATTTAAACCATTTAATTCTAATGGTCTTAATAATAAAAGACAGAGACAGCTTTTTATCACAGACTATTGAAGAAGTGATCTCAGAACTGAGCACCTCAGTTTCCTCCCTTGAAATTTCATCATTTTGTGATGGATTAGCCAAAACCAGGCGGGGTCAGATACAAGCAACACTCAAAGATTCCTTACTAATACCACTGGGTTTTATTAAAATAGCTGGGGAGGGGAAGGAAGAAGTACCCTACATTTGCAAGGGATCAGGAATTTCATCCACAAATTATACTCTCCCCTCAAAATCAGGACAAACACTGAAGTTGAGAATATTACATGCCAACTGTCAGCCTGCCCCTGAACCAAGCCACAGTAACTCTCTGCATCCAATGGCTCTGAACAGTCCTATCTGATGGAAAAGATTTACAAGCAGGATTGTAAATCCTGCCTTATGCCAGTATTGGCCTTTCACTGTATTGCTGCAACAGCACAAGGCTTTAGAAACAACTTTATTCAGCACAGTTGTTTGCAGAGCCGAAGGTACCACTTCATTCACCTATCCCCAAAGCCTGTTACCGCTCCTGCAGGGTGTCACTGCCTGGAGATCTGGTCCTGGACCAGCTCCTGCATCTGCTTCTTAGTCGGCTTCAGTCCAAATCTGAGGAGCTGGCTACAGGAGTCACTGCAATTGCCCCAGGTGAGTTTGCCAAAAGCATATTAGACAGTGCACAGGCAAATTATTCAGTCAGCAAAACCACGACATGAAACACTGCTGCTGAGTGGTGGCACACAGCTGGGGAGGTAAATCAGCACAGTAGAGGAGGACAGGTAACTGCCTACAGAAGTTCATGCTTGCTTTTTCGTAATAAAAACCAGCCAGTCCTCCCTAAAAACCACTCCAAAACCCCCATAGTAAGGTCTGTGTTTCCCTGAGTCAAGGTTCAACTCCTTTCTTTACCCTCTCCATTTCTATCCAAGTGCTACTGCTACAACTTTCATCTTCCTGGGTCCTCACTCCTGCTGCTGCCAATTCCAGCATCCAGACTCTGAGACTAGAGCTAACAGCCCTTTCTTGAGCAAGCTGACTTCTGTACCTGTTCAAGAGTCCCTGCACCATGATACCAGTTCCAAAAGCAAAGCACAGATGCTTATGGTATCCCTGTTTGTGGTATCCCTGCAGGGAGCCAGGAAACGCCCAAAAGAGTTCACTTGGCCTTCAGGTTGTGTTTAATGGAGTAAAGTTTTACTTTTAATAAGTAAAAATTTGTAAGTCATTTTGCCTTCCCTCACCTTTGGAAAAGGAATTTGCCAGTAAAGGGTTCCTGCAACACCACAATTATGTTTTGCCCAGATCCTAGTGAATCAATTGTGGCTTATTTTCAGTTACTCTTCCCAAACAGAAGACAGTAAGCAGCAAAAACACTGAATAAAAGTAAGATTTGAAACCCCAGCAGTGTGTCAGTTCTCACTCTCATTGGAAAAGCAGGCTTCCTTCCCCAGCCCCAAGTTGCTTCCTACCCAGTCTCTGAGCATTTTATATCAGTGCAAGCTCAAGCATTGTGCTACAAACCTGCTGAGACAGAATATACTGTATTTTAAGGGACAGGTAGGCAAAGGGGAGTACAATCTTCTTACCTAATCCTCATATTTTAGGCTTTTTAAAATGGTTTTAGTGTGTTTCCTTGCAAGGAAATGTCTTTACTGCAAGCTCTGCTTTTTACCCAACAAGAAGATACACCTCTGCAGCCAAGCACCACAGAATGCTTCCATAAACAAGAAGATCAATAGTTAACTCTGATGCCAACAAGAATGACACCAAGGGACTGGAGCAGTAGTAGAGTAATTCAAATCTGCTGATGCAGCTGCTGCTCAACATAATTCAGGGAACTGCAGCAATAAAACTTCTCTGCTCCGTCCTGCCTTACAATTAGTCCCAGAGCTCTCTCTGGTCATTTTAACCAACAGCACTCTCTGTAATTGCTCCACTGCAGTCACTAGACCTGCCAGATTTTACATTCTCTAATGCTTCGTTAGGATGGGATGAATCTAACAAGAAGCTTTATCAAATTATTAGGTATTATCACAGAGAAGCTAGAAACACACCTAGGAAAACGCTGGTGACTGTGTGTGGAGGGAAGTGCCACTGTTGTAATAAATCATCATGAAACAAAAGAATCTGAGCACATTCAACAGCAATATTTTAACAGGAATGTATAAAACAGCCATCCCCTCTCTGTCATTTCCTTGCTGCTGGGAAAAGCAGCCTATCAGAGCTGTTCCAACCCACAAAAGGGAGCGAAGTCCATGTAAAGTCTAATTCAATCACTGTTATACAAACCTTCTCATTAAAGCATGCAAATAAGAAATAATGATGGTTTTACAAGTCACCTTTAAAATACTTTAACGGCACAATTCTTCCAACCATAACTTAAAATGGTTTTTGTTTAAATTTGTTTTCACTTCAGCTGTATCAGTTGTTTATATTGGAGAGAACTAGTTCAAGCCATTTGAAAATGCCTGGTAATGCACTGTTTAATGGCTATTCCAAGGCAAAGAGGGAAAAAAAGGGGAAAAATAAGAAGCCCAACCCAGTATTCAAAGCCTCCATTCTTACATACAAACCAAGTAACAGGAACTTTCTCTTTTTGCACTTAAATACTTGCTCTTGGATCATAAAATGAAGAATCTATAGGATTTTGAGGATTTTAAGCTTTATATTTTGCATTCTTGTTGCCAAAAATATACAGATACCAGTCAGGTTTTAAACAAAACCAAACCAACCACCACCACACACATCTGTAGTGTTTTCTCCTCCTCCTGCCAAAAAGTCATGCATGGAAGTTTCCCAATTATGTGAACAAACACATTTGATCTATGCTGCATACGTATCGACTGAACAGCCTCCAAGCCTTGTAATCAAGAGTTTATAGGCATAAATCCTGTACCAGGCTCCAGTCCAACTTGAGAAGTGAAAACCACCTCTTAGAAACTGGTTCTCAATTAAGACTTTAAACGTTCCAAAAGTTTACAGTGGATAAAAGGAGTAATACATGTGCCTTTAACACCTACTGGAGCTTTCCCAAAGAGCAATGGTTCACGGAGTTAGAAACACCGTTTTCCCTGCACGCTCGCTGTATGCTCTACAATTACAACAGAGAAAACGTTTTACTAAATGGGCACTAAACTGTCTGTGCAAAAAGCCTTATCTACTTTATCTCTTGTACCTTTGTTACAACTTACTTTATACATAGCCATCACCAGAGTACCATCTTAAGACATCAAAGCCATAAACCATATCGTTGATTTTCCTTTTCATCCTCACTTCTCAAGTCTCCTCATAGTTGTGCTGTGCACTTTGACAGGCTCATGAGAATGAGGAAGGATGGGAAGAAGGCTCTGTTCTTTACATCTCTTGAGTGCATTCTGCTATGCTCCTAGATTTTCCTGCTATTCCAGAGTATACCAGCATACAGATCCACTAATCCTATCATTCTAAATGGTCATTCTGTAAATGATTCAGATAAACCTTAAGGTATGGAGTACCTTACTTTTCATCAGTGAAGCAAAACTAAAACACAAATACCAGTAAGTAAAAAGTAGTGCACAAACCCTTTCAGCCCAAAGGCTCAATGAACGGATTCTGTGTGTTCTATCTTCCCTCCATCCAGTTTCACCACTATCTGTTATTCCCAAATCCTTTTTATTCCTTTTCTTATGCAGTGTAATTCATGTCATGGTTCTATTGAGAAATAGGTTTCAAGTAGCAAAAATGAGAATGTTAATTGATGCAGTCAGATATTTTTAAAACAAACAGAGATCAATGCTTGGCATATTTCAAGAAAAGCTACCAGGAAAAAACCTTCAGTTCTGAGAACCATCTGATACTCATTACTCACCACCAACCTACTTCAAGGTGCAAGAACTTTGTAGCTTCCTATTTACCGCAGAGAAATCACACCCCCCATTATAATTAAATGATTTTAAACCAGGAAGAAAAAAGGAACAAGTCTTTTTTGTTTGAGAAACAAAACTTGCTCTTTATGTAGAGTAAGTTTCATTTAGTGTTCTAAACAGTCTCTTTTTCTCCTGGAGAGTTCTTACTGGCATGCATTCACCAGATCCCCTGGCATTCCTTTTGCCTAAGATCACACCTTCAGAAAAGAAGGGTGGAGGGGAGATGGAAGTTAACCCTTGCCCTGATGGTTTGTCACTGGGTAAAATGCCTTGGGATAAGTACATCAGTTAATCCTGGTGGGAAAGCTACGTGAAAACAAGACAGAACCTGAACCAAAGTTTCCCCAGTAATTCAATTACAAAGGAATTCTTAACCATAGCACTGAAGTCTCCATTGGTTAGCTTTCCTCCACTCAGCCCTTATCTCTGCAAGGAGTGTAAGAATCTTCATCCATATAGTTGGGACATGAAAGATAACCAGTCTGCTCTAAAAATGCAAGACTTTGGTTTCAATTCTGAATGTAGAGATATTAAAACTCACTGGCAAACAGACTTTTACAATGCGTGCTGACAGGGCTATAAACATAACATGGTATTTACTGCTTGCAAGTTAAAATACACTGAGTTGGTTCCAGACACTACAGTTTTACTTGTGGAGGACTAAGCTCTGGTTTTACTTCAAGGTGGTTGAGTCACTTTTTGTTGCCCTCCCACAGCACAGATCTGCAGAACTTCAACGTGAAGTAAGGACAGAGATGCTGTCCTGCTATCTTCATCACAGATATGGCTCTTCCCTCATTCACATGCCCTTGTGTTGCAGCACACCAATTATCAGAACTAATGCAAGTTTAGGCATGAATTTTGATTGGGGAAAATGAAGGCTGAGATTCCCAAAGCTGTGTGTGAAATTAAACTTGATTACAACTAAAACTAACGTGAATGTTGAATTTAAGCCCCATTTTGGGTAACAGCCTGTCCTTTGTTACATGCTTGTACATAGTGTAGCAAAAGGCATCCCAGGCCATCGACAAGGCTCCACATACATTAATGCAAATACAAAATCATTACCTAGACAGTCTTGATCTTTCCTCCAGCCCCCCAATCTGTAATGTAACACTCATTCCCCCTTTCCCAAGGGATTTACATGTGTAAATAGAATGTGGTTATATTCAAAATGAGACTTTAGACCACAACTTGATGAAATGATATCAAGATTTTAAGGGCACCTTTTATTTTTAAACAAGCAAATAGGTTTCTTATATTAACAGTGTATAGAAAGTGGTATTTCTAGACCATGACTGAATTTTTTATCTAGGCAGAGTGGTACTTCCCCCTTTAACTGCACATCTGGTTTCAATAATCCTGCAGCTGCTACCTATTGCTATGCCTTTTGGTTTTTACCTCCTTTCCTGACAGACTCATGAATAACTGAAAAATAAACCAAAAAATAAGAAGTATAACATACAACTAATGACTGAGAAGCAGCAGGAAAAGTTGCAAATTCACTGAAACAACTTTGTACTGGAATGGCTAAAGGGACGCTTTGCCTTCCCTTATCTGTTTAACTTGCCTGCAATAACCAAAAATAATCTTCTCTGGTGAAAAAGGCACAGAAGTAAAATCAAATTGAAAAATCACAAGATAAAGGTAAAGTTATTTTAGGTTGGTCTCAGCTTGAATGAACTTCCATGACAGCATATACACAAAGACATGCTCTGCGTGCAGACATCTCCAGCTATTTTAAGTGCTCTGTGACAGCATGTACTAAAGCTTTTTTGGGGTTTTGCTTGGCTTGCTTTGTCTGGGGTTTGGTTTTGGTTTTTTTTTTACTTCCCAAGAAAGCAGATCTATCACTGAAGGAAAGGCACAGACGGGATTTGTTTGTTTTCAAAGACTCATCTTAAAACTCAGAGCCCATGTCTAGCCACAGCCCTTACATTACTGATGTGAGATTAAGATAGTTAATAAAGCTCTTTGACTCTGCCTGTCTCCGACAGCTCAGACCAGACCTACAGAGAAAGGCACATCGCAAAGCCTGAGTGAGTAAGGGAAAGAAGAGTAGCTCCTGCATGGAAGGTACAAACTGTACCAACACATTCACTTCTCTACATCCTCCTGGCCATTAATGGGTTGCCACATAAGAGATGATAGTGAAGATGTTTCTCCCTGCTAGAAAGCACCAAATCAAGATCTTTAAAATATATATATATACAGACCTACATAATCCAGTGCCTCAAACCACAAGGCTAGATACCATTGCTTTACTCTCGCTCCCATTAGCACCCAAAGAGCCTATGACATATTTTCCAGTTACAACTTGCACCTTTAATTAAAGCACACATTCAGCTCTAAGACTGAAGCCTTGCAGATCAGTCTCACAAGAGCAGGCAGCACTGTAATTATTTCCAATACCAGCTTTGCCTAAACAAGGGTGACTTACAAATAGGACTTAAAGGGACAACAGTTTCCTTTTCAGCAGCTGGGTGTTAGTGACAGCAGGGTCTCAACTCAATCTTTACTGCTCTGTTTTGCCACACCTTGAGGGGAAACATATTTTGATTCCCTTTCTGTTTGCAAACAGAACACAACCCCTTTTGGGTTAGGAAACAGCCAGCATCTGGGGAAAGGCAATCTGTTTGTGGCAAATAGCACTCACCTCCTGAAAAAGCGTAGACATTTCACAGACCAGACATGAGCTGGGGCTTTGCATTTCACATTTGTGCCTGTCGGAGAGGAAGAAATCTCGCAGCAGTGGAGTGTGGGTAAGTGCCTGGACAATACAGTTCATAAAACATGTGTTCCCAAGATTGATTAGCCCTCGTAGACCTATAAAGACAGAAGGGGGAGGGGATGCATAAGCATTATCAAGTTAACATAATAGTATATTTGCATTTTTATACAGGTTTCACAATATTCCCACAGATTTACTGTATATGAACACCTTCCAAGTACGCAGTTTTATATTGCTTTGGGTAGGCTATTGGTTTTGATGTACTGAAGTCATAAGCTGCCACAAGCTTTCTGATCTACACTAGGTTTTTCAAATTCTCAGGAAAAAAAGGGAACCTCCAAGTACAGCAACACCAACAGCATTATTTTGCAGCGGCTGTTTTGCCATATGTGACCAAAACACTCCCTGCAACCCCAAGCTGATTGATACCAAAGTGCAACGACAACAGCTGGTAAGTCACTACAGTAAGAAACCAACACATTTAAATAAATCACTAAGTTTTCAGATAGTTTAAAAGGCTTTCCCTAATGCAGGTCATGAAGCCAGAATAAGGGGTTTGTACTGTTCTAATGCAACAACCATCTTCCTAAGACAGGCAGCAAAGGAAACAGCCTTGACAAAACCAAGCCAGGCTGCACCATCCAATGCAGACTTAGCATATCCTTTTTTGGTTCAAAACTCAAGATCCGAACAACCTTAAAAGAGAAACTCTGACCAACACTAGTTCCACACTTGTTTCAGCTAAGTTAAACATTCATCTATAGTATACATCAAAATATTCCACTTGGCATAAGAGGATTCATCACACCTTAAGTCAAACGTTCAGTAATGCCCAGAGACGAGTTCTTGTGCTTGGAAACCAAGATGCTTAAAGGAAAGCTCTTTTGTTGCACAACAGAAGAGAGGTTAGGAGTGGGGAAAGCTTTTCAGTCATTTGCAAAGTCTAAGCAAGAAGAAAAACATGCTCAAATCCTTGAGAACTCTTCTGAAAGGTTAACATAATACCACCATACAGGAGTGCTAAATGAGAAGAGCATCAGGTGGACAAGAGTGCTTATTTGTAATCAAAAACTTACTTTGCAAGAAGATTAAATGCACTGATAGATACAATTCTGGTATTAATGTAAAATTAACACGGTTCTTTTCTGCAATATAAATATGATTACTACACAAACACTGAATGAAAAAACAGGATTACTTGACAGAGAACAAAGAATTCCTTGCCATCCATGAGGGGAAAAAAAAAAAATCAGCTGGCAATGCTGTGGCAATTAAAACTGGTGCAGTTCCCTTGCAATACACCAGATAGTGCT